GAGGGGAGGGAGTGGGCATGGATTTGATCAAAATACCTTATATGCATTTATGAAATTTGCAATAAAGTTTTTGTAAAAATTTTTTTAAAAAAAGAATATACAACAGGTGTAAAAAAGTTACTAATAAATCTCTCAATTCTCCAAAAAAAAAAAAAAAAAGATTGGCATTCTTCATCAGAAATGCTGCTGCTCAGCTTCCGCGAGGCCCAGAGAGCCTGCTGTCAGTGGTGTTACTGAGAACACACAGAGGCGCTCCGTAGTGGAGCAGTCTCTCCCTTGGCTAATATCACAGAGGCGTCATTCCTCTCCAGAGAATGTGCCAATGGAGCTCCACCGATGGAGATGCAGAGAAAAGCGCTGGAGGAGAGGAGGGGAAGGGCACACACAGAGGCAACCACTGTCCTGGCATTTTCACATGCATTTGTCCACCTAACTGCCGCCGGGAGGATGGACGGTGTTATTCTAAGCTTACAAGTGCGGAGATGGAAGTTAAAATAATAAAAATCACCTCACCAAGGTCATATGAGGAGGAAAGAATTTGAATCTAAGTTATCAAACTCCAAATCTTAGCCCTACACCAATTTCTCCCAAAATAGTCAGAAAATGATAAAGCCATTTATTCCCCAGGGTAGTGGTGCACTAACTTCTTGCTGCTGTTTTGGTCTGGTTTGTTTGGAAGGAAACAAGCAGGCGGTCCCACCTCTGCCACAACACACTTCCATCCACATTTATACCAGGCATGCTCTGGAGAAACAAGTTTATATTCAGTATGGATGTATTAAACCGCAACTTGCTTCTTTTTGCCCTCAAAAGAATATTAGAGTAGTTACTTCTTTTACTCATATCTGAATTCATATGCTATTGTGAGTGTAAGAGCAACTCATAAGCTCTTTGGTTAGTGTTTGTCTTTTTTTTTTTTTTAATTTGGGATTGGTCGAACTAAAATGTCTGAGTTTAGAGCTTTTATCAAACTTGAGAAATGTTCATCCACTGTTTTTTCAAATACAAATTTCTTTCCTTTCCTCCTCATATACGGGCTCCAGTTCTATGTGTTCGAGCATTTGACGCAGCCTCCCGGTCTGGACCAGTCTTTCCTCCATGTTTCACTTCAGGTCATTCTGTTCCGTGTCTACCTCTTCACTGTCATGTCCTGCTGTCCCCCGTGTGCCACTCATCTAATGCGTCACGTGTCCAAGTACTTAGGCTTCCACGCCTTGCCTTGTCATGTCCACGACTTCCTTGATTTTATGGAACATAGAGTTTATAACATCTTTTTCAGAGTTAAATGTGCTCTGATTTATTATTTCTATTTATAATTAATAATTAGCACCTAGACGTTCTCCATCATCAGCCATGAAGAAGAAACAGGAATCAGGTTTACTTTCTCACTTTAAGAAACTCAACCTCAGGACACAGGACTCCTGTTTTATATGATGATCTTTAGACCTCTATAATAGGAGTCCCGGACAGTGATCCCTGTCTAGAAGGAGTTCTCTCAGGAAATTGTAGTGTTCAGAGTTTAGGGATGCTGATGGAGGTAGAAGTTGGGAAGCAGGGTACCGAAGAGAAACTAAGGAGAAAATGCAGAGGAGCTGTAGATTTCCCTGAGTTTATTTAGTCGCACACTATCAACGGTGCCTGTAGGAAAGCTACCTGTCGCCAGGGGAAAGGTCAGAAGGTAACAAGCAAAACAACCACATGGTTCACAAAGGACTGAGAATGGCTTCCACTCCCATTACCACAGTGCAGAGATCCCTTGACATACAAGGTATCAAACAGAGCTCCCAGAGGATACTGCCTCACAGTGGGACCAATACCCTAAGATTCATGGCTGTTCTGAACCTGCTTAATAAATAAAAAAAAGTATATCCAGAAAGGATCAAATAGTTCTGTGTCTCAGAGTGAATCTTACAGATTATTTAAAGAGACACATAAACTCTAGCATCCAACAAAGCAAAATCCACATGTGTAGCCTCTATTCAATAACTACTAGGCTCACACAGAAGATGAACATGTGAATAAGGAGAAAAATCAACAAATTTCAAACAAACTTCAAAATGACACAGAGGGAAGAGTTAGCAGGTAAGACAGTAAAAGGCAGTTTTACAGGAAACCGGGAGCTAGTTAAATTTATTCTCTACTAGAAAACTATAAAGCCAGAAAAAACAGACAACCATGCCAGTGCTCTAGAACACATAATCTGAAGAAACATGTATGTTTGATATGTAAGAATAGCAACGGTCTGTCTGTAACATCTTTTGATAGGGCTATTTTTATGGCCCACCCCATCTCAGTTCTCTGTCTGTCAGAAGATAGGCCATGACGAACAATAGCGGCTACACCAGGCTGGAAAAGGCATTCCGCCTATTTGGAGCTGGTGGGTGATAGTCATGGCCCGGTGAGTCTACATCTTTTTCAGTATGGAAGTATGTGACCAAATACTTCCATTCCAGCCACTAAAGTTACCCCATCCCCTCACTACCACCACAAGCATCATTACCCCCGCCAATATTTATGGCATACTTATTACATGCAGGCAGTCATAGTACCTCATGTAAGACTGTAATAGTTGACTCCCAGCTTAGGGAGACGTCTAAGGCTGAAGGAAATCAAGGGACTTGCCCGAGGTGACACAGCTAGTAAAAGCGATAGAACAAGCATCTGAATACAAAAATCTGACTTGGATGTTGAGTTAAGCTGTATAAAAATCCTGGGGGAAGAAGTCATGTGGAACCACTGTGTCTGTCTTTGTTACCCTCGGCAACTTCGCCCTGTGTCATACCTGAATTTAAGATAGTGGTCATGATCGATGAGGGAAAGCAATGACTGTCCTGAGACCCATGGTGGCAATTCCTCCAGTGAGCAAACACATTATTTTCACATTCTTCACTAAGGAACATTCAAGTTAAAATACTTGCTTTATGTCTATATTTTTGTTCAGATCACAATAAACGATCTAAGAAGTGTAAGAAATGTGTCCTTTGTTACTACCATAAAATACAGTCACATCAAATTATATAGAGAGAACTGCCGAAGAATTTGCATGTGGTCAAGTGAGTAATAAAATTCAGTTGGCCCACAAAGATGGAATGGTAAAAGCAGACATAAACTTGAATTTAACCAGGGAACATTTTACTCATCCAGTACAGGCTTGGTTTGGTACAGTTCCAACTGGCCAACTTAAATTACAAAATGACTTTTTCATGTTAAAATATTTAATACTCAAACAGCTCAAGTCACTGGCATTTCATATCCTCCTACCCTAACAACTGTGAGCAAACCGGGCCTAGGGTTGAGCTGTGCTGCTCTGATTCTTATTCACAAAAGGCTTTGGGAACATGAAATAATCGGCTTCCCCAAGTCTCTATTTCCTGTTTTATGTAAAATACAGTTTGTCATAGCTCAAGATTTCTAACAATTAAGCATAATTTTCACCTATTTCTCTGGAAAATCTAAAAGAATGAGTGGTGTTAACATTAAATTAGTATCTGGGGGTGAAGCATACTCAGGCAGACTGCCTTGATTATCTAAACAGTTTTGGTCTTTGATACATTTTTTTTATCAGACTTTCTGAAATCTCAACACCACTACCTGCAAATTTCACAAAAGAAAACAGTTTCAGTGACTAGCTAGCATCTGATACTGAGTTTGGTTGTTTTCCATTCCTTTCTATGTGAAGATTCAGTAACTGCAAAAAATTCCCAAACATAGTACTTGTGTCGCACTACAGCCACACATCTGCACCTAGCATACCTCACCAAGTACACAGTTATATACAACTGTTTCTCAAGTCTTTACACATTTACTAATTCAATATAGGAAGCAAGCACATCCTTAAAAACCAACTCACACCACATCTAAGTACCAGTGTGGCACAGGTTTGAAGCACCTCATCACTTCCTTTTATCACCAAGTACTTCTCGGGATGCCCAGTTTGAAGACATTGAAAATGAGTGAACACAGGCATTTATCAGTGCTCCACCTATAACCTGGGAAAAGCCTGTTTTATCCTATCATAATTACAACATCAAAACCATGATCAGCCAGTGGCACCCCATTCCTCAGCACCTCCGTTTAGAACACATTCTGAAGAGTAGACCTTCAACAAACCATATAAAGTCCAGCATTAGATTCTTCTAGCTCCCTTTTAAACTAAGAATTCTCAGTTCTCCTTAAGGAATGGGGAGGGAAGTGTCACAAGCCCATGACAAAGGCTGCAGGAAAGCCATGGCCATTCCTGCCAGTAAACAGTAAACAGTAAAAGCCAGAAACCCTGGGGGGATGTTTGAGGAGTGAGTTTGTGGAGTCAGGTAAGGATCTCACAATATAGCACTATTGTTACCAAAAGGGAAGCACCTGTTTCTCAATGATCCATCATGAAATTTACCATAAAGAGGAGCATTTGGGGTTCCTTTATGTTGATACACTTCAAGCTATTTAGTCCCAGCATAGCCTGGTTCACTACGTTTCTTGTGAAGCTATTTTCCAAACTGTTTCCACAATCCTGTGAAGCAAGTACCTTAACTTGAGTTACAGGGCTGGTCCCTCTCTTTTCATTTTTTATCCCAGTAGGTGAGACTGCCCCTGCTGTGTTTGGTGGCTGTGGAGTTGATGGCATCTTTGCTCCAGGTGACACCTGCATGCTGGCCAGCTGAGCGGCGTAGAGCTGCTGCAAAACAGAGACGGCAAACATTGATCTCTTTAAACGCAGCTGAAATGGAGTTTTAAAAAAACTTACCGTATTGTTAGACAGCTATGTCTCTGACAGCCCTGCAATTTCTTTTTCACTTTTTTGAACAGGAAAATAAGAAAACCTAAGCAATACAGAAAGGAAGCACCGGAATGAGAGACATGGCTCTGCGCCTGTTCTCTCTAGCAATAGCACTATGGCCTGGGAAAAGGCTCCTGCAGCTCTCCAGAGCTCAGCTCCTTCAATTGTACGAAAAAGAATTTAACTAGTCTCTAGGATTTCTTCTAGATCCTAAAACCACTGTAAAAGGGTCTTCAAATGTCCGTTCATGGACTAGGAATCTAGCCAGAACGTCCCTGCAGAGCCTTATTCTTGTTTGACATTCACCATTCTTCTCTGGGAACTTCGCTCCTTCCGGAAGCTCAGTGCTGCCCTGACCCAGAGCCCAGTGACGGCCACACCTGTCTCAGGGTCTCCTTTCTAGGTACCATACACTGTAACCTCCAACAGAACATGGCCACTTTGTAGCAATGGGGACAAAAAGTCAAGCTCCTGCTGCCTGGCCCTAGAGCTGAGTGCTGTATCACCGGCACTGCCACAGTCTCCCCTAGTCCTCCCTTGACTTGGGGCCCAGTTTATCCTCCCTGTAGTCACATTGCTGTCAGGGTGGTTTCTGAAGTATTTGTTCCAGTTCTCTTTGGCAGACTAATGATCTTGCTCATCCTGTCTGGTCACCCTTACAAATGTTTCTCTTCCTGAGAAACAGAAAACAGACAGACCCATGCTATAAATCTTAAAATGATCCATTTTAAATATATTAATTCAACTGACTGATATCCCAAGATTGAAAATATGTAGGCCAATCTCATTTTTATATAATTTTAACTTTTATCAAAGTTATGTTATACATAGTTTCACAATTCCATATGACTTTAAGGTTTTTAAATAAAAAGGAAACAATGACAGCAATGGCCAACTTGCATAAAGTAAAATCTCTATAGACAGGTGGTGGCCCTGACCTCTGTCCCCTTCCTCCCACCCTCTCTCCCTATTCTGTGGAGAACATCCTTTTTAGCTTAGTAACTGCTCTGATAGATACTTTTTGCCGCACACGCACATACTTGTGTGCTGTTATACCTCATCCTCAGATCCCACACAAGATCAAAGTTCGTGCACTTAATCACTGCCACACATGACTTCATGCTTCCCTTTCCAACTGATTAATGTTAATACCATACATATCTAATTACATTTTGCTAATTCATTTAAAAAAATTTTTTATTTTATGTGTATGAGTGTTTTACTTGCATGAATTTAAGTGTAAATACCCGTGGAGGCCACAAAAGGGTGTCAGATCCCCTGGAAGTGGAATTATGGATGGTTGTTAGCTGCCATGTGGGTGCTGGGAACTGAACCCAGATCTTCTGCAAGAGCAGCCAGTATCCCTAACTGCCGAGCTGTCTCTCCAGCCCCCACACTGCTTCATTCTACTTAGGCACTAGAAACAACTGAGGTGTGAAAAGGACTCTATTTCTTTTTAGCTCTCTTTTTCATTTTTGTGGTGCAGGGGATTGAATTTAGGGCCTCGGGCATGCTAGGCAAGTACTCTACCACTGAGCTACAGCCCCAGAGTTCTTTCTATTATTTTGAGACATGCTATCACTAAGTCATCCATGTTGGGCATGAAGTCACTCTATAATCCAGGAAGACCTTGAACTTGTGATCCTCCTGCTTCAGTTTCCCAAGAAGCTGGGATTACAGGAATTAGATTTGGCATTAATTTTCTCCCTTTGTTTTATTTTGTTAGATTTAATATTTTTATTATTTTCTACTTATTTGTTTTTATTCTTTTATTTTTTGTAACTATCACTACATAATACCCAAATTCTCTTTAAAAAAAAAGAAAGAAAGAAAGAAAACTCAATCCAATATAATTGAATATATTGGAAAATTTTTTAAATTAAATTTCTTATTTTGGGGGAATTTCACACGTAAGTATTCTCTCTATATATCATTCTTACTTCTTCTTCTGCCTCTTCCAATTCTCCATCTTCCTCCCACTCCTTCTCAATCCCTCAATATCCTGGACCTCTTTTTGCTGTTGTTGTTGTTGATTGTTTTTTGACAGGGTCTCCCTAGTCACAGCCACCTGGAAGTCATGATATGAACCAGGGTAGCCTTGATCTCACAGAGATCCACCTGCCTCTGCCTCCCAAGGACTGGGATTAAGGGTGCGTGCCACCATGCCCTATGTCCTGGACCTCTTCTTTAATTATTACACACACACACACGCACACACACATACACTTGCACACACTTGCACACACGCACACACACTTGCACACATGTGCACACACACGCCCTACTAAGTGTACATTAGATAATATCTGTATCTATTCCTCCCAGCCTTGGAGACAACTTTTAGAATTCTTTATGTTCTTGCTCCGGTCTGAGCTAGTTTGTTTATTAGGCCTGCTGCTGACCTGTGGCACACAGAACTCTTTGCCTCTCCTGGACTCTCCTCTGTTTTCTGCCTGTCATGGTTTCCTGCCTCTCAGTGAACTGCCACTTTGACGATGGTAGATCCCCCCTAGGAAATACTTAAGAAAGGTGCCTGTGAGGTTAATTTTTTAGGAACGAAGGTTGATGGGAAAATATCTTAAAATTCCATTGATAAAGAAGTCTAAGCTAAAAATGACTTCCAGAATTGCCAGGACAGCGATCTGCTGTGTATTCCTACTGATAAGGGAGTCGTTCTGACTTCAGATCCTAACGGGCTCCGTTTCCACCGACAACGCTGGCGTCTTCCCTTTATACCAAGTGCTGAGATTTCAGCGTGAGGTCCGCCCATCTGCTGATTTTTATACTAAGTGTTCCGGACCCTCAGCATTTCCGTGTGCGAAGCTGTGTGCTCCAATTCTAGAAAACGGCCTGGAGTTTTTCGTGTATAACTTTCTTGTGTATAAATTTCTCTCGCATCAACTCCTACTAAACAATGTTGGACATCCTCTCTGCCCTTCTCTTATTTCTTCCTCCTACCTGCCAGTCCCCAACATTTTGTTGCTCTCTATGACAGATATTTTTTATCAACTTTACCTTTCAAGACTTACAAATGTTCACGTTTTCACTATCCTAATTTTAAGGAGACTGTTTTGTTCCCCGATTGCTTTCCTTTTTAAAGCATCTTGATCACTATTCTGTTGAATAATAATAATGAGAGGTCTGGGACTTGTTTCTGTTTTCTGTTCTCTGAGCTGCTGTCTCTCTCTTAAGCTCTTTGAGCTCCTTCCTATTAGAGGCTATTCTAAAGTGGTTGTTCTGGTGATGGATGATTGACATATGAGTGACATCACCCAAAGCTGACTACACGTTGGAGGAGACTTACTGGATGATAAGCTTCAGTATGAAGTAACAATGTAGAAAATGGTTTTTTTCTTGGGGAATCCCAATGTCAACACTCAGATATTATTGCTCTTACACTGGACCTTACTCTTAGAGGGATATCTTCAAATGCTTGCCTTGGTTGCAAGATACTCTTGTATGCTATTGGGTGAGCCATAGCTATGCCCGATGTCCCGATCAAAAACCTCTGAAGGGGAACTTCTCAAGAGATCAAACTTTTAGTCTTTTGCCAGGTTGCATGTTGGTCATGGTTGGTGAGAGGAAGGGCTGGCACTTACAGGGTTACATGAGGTTAGGAAGGGATTGTCTTTACAGATTTCAACTAGCCATCTTGTCTACCATTCCAGCTCCTACCTCTGCCTTCAATGATGATGCCCAATGGTACACCACTTTTGATTACATTTATAACTCATCCACCCATTTCTAATATTCCCAAAACTTTTCTTGGTCTCTCTTTCGCCTTTACTTGAAGGTTTATACTTCTAATCCTTCACTGTCACTGTGTTAGGATTTGTGCAAAGCTGCCAATGAATACGAATGTGTTAACTTACTGTGGTTAACCCAAAGTCAGATACTCCAACCTTAACACTATTTGATGCTTGAAAACGTCACTCAAATATTTTCTTTTCCTCTTATAATCAAGATTAAGCCATTACCTTGATAGTCTAATTTCTATCATAATAAATAGAAAGCTTCCTAGTTCATCAGCTACAGAGAAAATAGCTCAAACTTTGCCATATTAGTAGGGGAGAAAAAACAGGTGGTTTGTATATAATTTCCAACATAACTATCATTCAGATGGACAAATAAAAAAAATTACAGTAATCAAAAACAGACCTTTCAGCACATGTAATTAAATGAAAGCTTAATAAAGAATAATTTGCGAGAGCCAGATGTGCCTATGTCATGATTGTTGCTTTCTTTGGAACAATTTTTATAATATAACAAGCCTCTAAAGAAATTAAAGTTCCTTAATTCTGTACCCAATGACTCAGTGGCAAGAAAAACTCACAAGTAGGAGTCAACTGCTGTAATTAGGCAAAAGAATGGCTGTGGTTTTGTTTCATTTTTACTTAAATGTATCTTTTTTCCTTTGAAATTCAGCCAGATTGGGGGTGTAGCTCAGTGGGTAGAGTGCTCGCCCAACATGCACATAGTCCTGGGTTTGATTTCCAGCACCACATAAGCCAAGTGTGGTGGCACATGCCTATAATCTCAGCACTTGGGATGTGGGGGCAGAAGGATCAGAAATTCAAGGTCATCCTCACTTATATTTCAAGTTAAGGTCAGCAGGGCTACAGGAGACCCTGCCTCAAGAAAACAGAAAACAAAGGAGGTGGGGGACGTGAAACTTTCATGGAACTTCTGCTTGGGTGAAGTCGCCAGAAGAAAGTTTGATAGTGAATGAATTGGACAGAGGTAGTTATGAGTGGAAAACATGTTGGCTATATTGTTGTTGGAGTTATGAATGATATATTCTACTATTGAGCATAAAAGAGTCATTATATTTCCAAGATTCGAGCCCTTAGAAGTCATTTATGCTTCATTTTACCTGGATAATTCGGAAAATCAAAAGA